CTATCTATCTATCTATCTATCTATCTATCTATCTATCTATCTATCTAAGGGCTCACCTCTCTTTTAGACTTAGACTTAGACTTAGACTTAGACTCAACTTTATTTATCTCTTAGGAAATTCTGGTTCCAGTAGCTTATGGGTACAATGGGCAGAGTTAAAGCAAGATGCCATTACAAATTAAAAAAAAAAATACAACAGGCAATATATATAAGAGTGTATATGGTACAAAAGAGCATAAAAAAGTTGTAATATCCTGGAATATGTCTCCATTAGATATAAAATATCTGCACAGTAGCAAGCTAAGGAAAGAGTAGACAGTAGTTGACTTGGATTATTGTACTGACCTTATAAATAAGTAAAAAATTATACAGACTACACGGTAGTTGGCATGTGTTATAAGAATATTACACATGATTGACAATAGGTAATGTTTTGGAAGTTCTTCCAGAACATGCAAACAGTCAGTAAGTCGGTAAAGATCGTTTCTCGTCCTATTTTTTTGCTACCAGACCCCTAAAGTAGTGTTTTTGGGGGTCTGAATTGGTTGACCCAAACACAGTATAGCTGCTCCCAACTGTTTCTCACTGGTTGATGAAAGTGCAGATATCCAACTGATGGTTCCAAACGTTTATTAAAGGATTTATAAACGCCAAAGACCACCGTGAACACTGCAAAATACGCGGTGGGAAATATTCATCAATAAAACCGTCATGTTCACCTTACATGAATTATCAAATGAAAGTTATTAAACAAAATATAAATTCTCTAAATTGTCCATACCGTATGCCCCTCCAACCAGAAGGTTAGGAGTTGCTAGAAGTCCATTTCTTCAATTTTTTTGTCCTTTGCCTTTTCTCTTGCACACGCAGACTAATTATAAACAAACTCAGAACTTCCTATCAAAGGCATCACGTGATCAAGTGAAGACCCAATCGGTGACGTCTCCATATGATATTGTTACAATATTTTCCCAAAGTATTTACATATTAATCAAAAAATACACAAAGATATGAAATAGATCAGTGTTTTTCAACCTTTTTTGAGCCAAGGTACATTTTTTCATAGAAAAAACCACGAGGCACACCACCAACCAAAAAAAAGGAATCAAATAAACACAAAAATGTATTTTTATCATATTTTATATTTCTTCTTTCAAATTGCACTTAACATGTCCACTTCAATATGCAAAATTACATACAAAATCTAGTGATAAGGAATTATTACATGATTACGCCACCAGTCACTAAAACAGCACAGACACTCAAAAATTATTTGCAGATAATTAATTCCTTATCAAAAAATCTTTTTAGACCAATTAGGTGAAATAGGATTAATTTGTACGGCACACCTGACCATCACTGGCGTCACACTAGTGTGCCGAGGACCAGTGGTTGAAAAACACTGAAATAGATATTAAAAGTAAAACATAGTCATATTCACAAAATAGAACAAATTCACACAGAAAAAATGCCCATGTAGCTGCGTTCGCTACACACAGACTCAACAAAAGTGTCATCAAACTGAAGGTTGTCCCCCGGCAGGGCCCTGGGCAGCCGTCCGTCCTGGGTGAGGGATTTGGCCCGGGCCCTGCTGGGGGCCCAGGAGGCCAACGTCCTGGTGGTGGACTGGGTCTACGTGGCCTCCTTCGCCTACAACCTGGTGGTGGAGCACTACCGGGAGGTGGCCCTGCAGGTATCCGTGGTCATCAACCAGCTGCAGGTGAGAGGAACACAACCAGATTGTTCCTGTTTCTGTTCTGAGTGACCACACCGATGCCAAACTTTCATGCCTGATCTTTCCCACCATTTCTGGGAGAAACAGAAGTTCCTGACAAAGGAAATATAGGCCTAAAACTTTTTAAATGAGTGGAGAATGATATTGTCTTATGTCTGCTGTGGTCCACAGAATATTAAGTCTTTTTTTAAAGCAGAAGGATTCTCATTGGGATCTTACTAATCAACCTGAACGTGAACATTTTAGCTTTTTTATTCATCTTCTTGTTTGTGAATCTCTTCTGAAGATTGTACGGATTATATGATGTTTAAAAACCGTTGATGCTTCTCACAGAAATTAGGCTACAAATTCCAAATCCAAATCTCAGAAACATATTTATGTCATTTCGACTTTGTTTTTGTGACTGAAGCCTGTTCAAATGTTCGTTTGTGTCTTTCAACAGAAACACGGATGCAGACCAGAGTCCTTCCATCTGATCGGAGTTAGTCTGGGAGCACATGTGGCCGGTTTTGTGGGGACTCTGTTTGAAGGAAAAATAGGAAGAATCACAGGTGAGTACGGATCGTGTAAACATCTGTACTATTCCTGGCTAGAATTTTTTTTTAAAAGGCTATTTTTCTATACCGCATAAATGGAAAGAACCAAGCCAGACAAGTCTCTAACAGAGCCCCAGTGTGACTCTGGAAAAATTAGAAGTCCTCTTCAAAGCACAAGAGCACTTTGATAAGACACACTCAGCCCCCCCCCTCCCACACAATACCCCACTGTTCCCTTGTTGATGTTGACCTTGTCTGAGTGTGAATGTGAGTGAGTGTGTGTGGTTGTTTGTCTCTGTGTGGATGAAACGGAAAAAAAATCTCAATAAACCTGTCTCTTTTCACGCTTCAAAGTCATAAATCTGACAGACTTTGATGAAGTCTGACAGTTTAGAGTTACTGAGAGCAGCTCTCAGGTTGGGAAATTAGGAGAAAGAGACCCCAATTAGAGTTTTGGAAATGCCAAATGTATCATATATGGTATATACGGTTTCGGAATTTTTTTGCGTCTGACACCTTTTGCATAATTTAATGGTAAATCTTTGCTCAAAATCCTATTGTACACAATCAGATACACCTGATAGCAGGGGGCAGAAGACTACACAAAAATAATCTTTGCTTATCGCATAGTAATAAATTATTATTAATATTAAAAATGTATTTCTGTTTTTTCTTTTTACATATTTTGTTAAAAGGCCAAATAAAGACTTCAAACAAAAAAAAAGTAATTTTCTGTTTTGTTTTATTCTTGGATCAGGCTTTAAAGGGTTAAACATGCTGTCAAATGAAATGACAAAGCTGTAATAAATTCTTTGTATCATCTAAGTGGCCAATTAAAAGAATACGAAACAATAGGAAATTTGAAAAATCCTCCTATTTCCTGCTTATTGTTTAAGTTTGCAGCTGTTTTCATTCTTTTCATTCTCTCTGGCTCAGTTCAGCCCTCCATCCACAACAAGTAGAGGAAGAAAAATGATCCTACTGTTTTCACACAGTTATCCTTTGATGTCAAAGTGGTTTTTGACCTTATATGCTGAGTGTTACTGCTTGACCCTCAGGTCTGGACCCCGCCGGACCCATGTTTAAAGGGGCGGACACCTACGACCGGCTGGACCCCTCCGACGCCCTGTTTGTGGACGCCATCCACACGGATTCGGACTGTGAGCTAACCACCGCGCCGGTTTCCCCAGAAAAAGACATTAGAAAGCACATTTTTGTCCCATGTTTGAGAACTCAGCAGATCAGCAAGATTTTTAACTTTTAGCTAGTTGGAGAAGGACCCCAAACTAACCCCTCACAACAGTTTTGTCTAATCATCCCCCAAAAAACTCAACTGTGTTCCTCAAAATTGTACAACTTGAGGATCCATATCCATTCATTCTTAAATAAAGATCAATTCTTCATGGCCTTAAACTTGTTCAGGTGGCTGAACACTTATATCTTAAACAACTGCATTGGATCCTGTTTTATTTGCTAAATTTACTCTTCTTATTTTGAATAGCAAAAGCTGGCAAAAGGTTAAAAGGTGAAGTTAGCCAGGAGCCGTGTCTTATTGTTGGTGGATTTCTTGCCAATTTTTTTACTTTATGTTGTTATTTTCTAACAAATATTGCTTTTGTTCTACAACAATGGACTTTTAAATCAGTTTTTGTCAGTGTAATACATAAAAGTGAGTTTTTTTAATTTTTATTATTGATATGGACAATGTGTGAGGGGTTAATAAAAGCACTTTTTCCAGGTTTTTCTTCAGGCTTTAGGCTTTTTTTTCCTCCTGAGTGTGATTCCAGTGCTAATAATGAGCTTTTCTCCTCTCAGACTTTGGAATCTCCATCCCGGTCGGCCATGTGGATTTCTTCCTGAATGGTGGGAAAGATCAGACTGGATGCGCCCGCTCCAGGTTTGCATCAAGTAAGACTCTGACAGCCGGCTGTTTTTGAATTTTAGGGCTTAGGCCCGGTGCTTTACCCCTGTTTGCCACCTGCTGATCAACAAATAAACTTATCTTATCTTATTTTCGGAGTTGTGGCTGGAACCGGAAGTGCCTTTCTTCATAAGCTTGAGCTGCTTTAAACTTATCTCAGCATGACTTCATTTCTAAATCTGAAAACCTTTTTTTTTCCTTCCATAAAATGATCTCACCATTGTCTGAAAAACAGTCCAGCATCGTTAAGAAATGGTTATGTTCTTGTTTTATCTTACTGTCTTGAACTCCATCATGTCAATAGTGGCAGTTTGTAAAAGCTTGGCTTCCTCAGTGGTCCTTCCTCTGTGTGTGTGGTCACTATTCTGTCCTCCCCAGTGTACGGTTATGTGATCTGTGACCACATGAGGGCGCTGCACGTCTACATGAGCGCGCTGAACGGCTCGTGCCCGCTGACGGGGATCCCGTGCTCCAGTTACGAGGACTTCCTGAACGGGAACTGCGTGCACTGTGATGTCTTCAAGGGGAGATGTCCAAAGATAGGTAGGGGAAACATCTGGGGGAAACAGCTGCAGCTGGATTTCTCTGCCTATCACATTTACAAAGCGGGAATCAATTATTACAGGCTTTTTTTAAGGTTAATTTAAAGAAAAAGTGGATTTATGTAGACATGACAAACTCTTCTTCTGGTTTTAATGTTAAAAACTGTGTAAAGTTACAGTTTTATATCAATAATAAAGCAGGTAGGAGTATTCTAAAGATACATCAGATATGACATCATACTACAGATTAGTGGAGTCAGCAATACTAAATCGGTTTATCACAATAAACGTTGAATAAAGGGGATGGAAGAATGAAACTCTGGACCGGGTTCTGGTCAGTCTCAGTGGCAGCAGTTAATTCGGTCTCAGCCTAAAGGTCAGAGGTCGTCGCACAGAAGCATTTGGCAGCTTCTTATCATCTGTGTGACTCTCCCTGTGTGTGTTTATTTCAGGTTTATCAGAAAACAGCGGGATAGTCATGTCACCCATCCCCAAAGAGCAGAAACTCTTCCTCCTCACCACGTCTTCGCCACCTTTTTGCAGTGAGTGTTTGCTCAACTAAACAGTTCTGTGCAGATATCCTAAACAAACATGAATATAATACAGTATAGAAGTTAGTATATAAGCCCAACACTTCTTGTTTTGCCTGTAATTTTACTTGAAAACCCTTTTTTCTCAGAGTTAGATGTCTTTTTTTATTCTTTAATGATTCAGGAATTATATTATTATTATATTGAAGCAATAATAATAATAATACAACAATTAAAAAAAATATATATGTATATATATATATTTTTTTTATTTTATTTATTATTATTATTTTTTTTTATTATTCATAAAACAATAATTAAAAAAAAAAAATATATATATATATATATATATATATATATATATATATATATATATATATATTTATATTATTTTTTATTTTTTTATTATTATTGTTTTATTATTATTATTTTTGCTTCAATATAATAATATAATAATGCCTGAATCACTGAAGAATAAAAATATATAGATATATATAAAATATAACAAAAAAATATAAAATATTTTTTTATAAAAAAATGTATAAAGATAAAATGCAGTATGAAATAATAAAATCCTCAATAATTTCTTATATAATTCTAAAATCATAATAAGTACAGGGACTGGAC